AAGCATTGGAAGCCGGAAAATCACCCTCCTCACGGCTTCCCAACCAGAAATAGTCTCCACCGACGGAGTGAATTGCGCTGAAGAGAGCGAACCCTGTTGGATCACCCCCATTATAAACTATCTCAAAAGCGGGGAACTTCCGACTGACATCACCCAAGCGAAGAAAATGAAGGTAAGGGCGGCTCGTTTCCTAATGATAGGTGAAGATCTCTACAAGCGAGGTTTCTCCTTCCCCTATCTTAGATGCCTTAACCCATCAGCAGCAGACTATGTGCTTCGGGAAGTACATGAAGGCATTTGTGGTAATCATTTAAGTGGAAGAAACTTAGCTCTCAAAATATGGAGACAAGGTTACTATTGGCCTACCATGCATGAAGATGCGAAAAAACTAGTGCGGGGATGCAAGCCTTGCCAAGAACACGCTAACATCCTTCATCTCCCCGCAGCATTGATGCAACCGATTGACAGTCCCATACCTTTCGCTCAATGGGGAGTTGACTTGGTCGGTCCTTTTCCACCAGCAACAGGAGGACGCAAGTGATATGAACCACGCCAACATCGTGACGAGACCCGATATCAATACTTCGGATATCAAATCCTGGACCGTCCAAAGAAGGAATCAAAGGGTGGAACCGCGACCCGTTGCCTATAAGGAGGCAAGAACCTTGGTATGTGAAAACGCCACAATCGATTGTGAAAGATCGATTGATAAGTCGGGGTGAACAAACGGAATCCACCGAAATGTTCGAACAGTTCTTAAAGAACCAAAGAGAATAAACTCCATTTAAATCATTAAAATTCGTCCCATCAAATCAGCCAAATTGGCTACATATTTATAAGATCTAAAAAGACTCATTTTTCACAAGGAAACGGACTCTTACCTAATCTATAATAAGGAAACTAATAAATAAGAAAATCCTAGCCATAACTAACTCTAGAATAATATAAATATATTAAACCTAATATAAAAACGTAATTTAATAAAATCTAAACTCCAAATATCAAGTCGACGACACGAACATTCTTCATAACCCGAGTACACATTTGGCTGTGCACGTGTCTTGACTTCAAGCTCGATTTCTGTCCTATTCCACTCCAAATCTATCTCAAATCAAAGCAGAAAAGTTTTAGATCTTGAAGTTGGCTTTGCGTAGAAATTCGAATCACCCAAATAAGACGTCTTATGAGAGAGTTATGACCCAAATGGTAAAACTGCTAGAGATAGGCGAGAAACTCGTATGAAATAGAATTCGATTTGGCCAACGAATTCCCTCTTTCTTTTCTTCCAATTCTTCGTGTTGGAGCTAGTTAGGATCATATCATACTCCCTCTCTTTAAAAGAATTCGTCCTCGAATTCGATTCCTTGGAATGAGCGTATACTATTGAAAGCGAATCCATGAAGCAGAAAGTTCTTCGCTGCCATTTGGAACTTCTCTATTTTTTTTTGAACAATTAATAATGAAATTCCCCATCTAATAAACAAGATCAAATTTTCCTTGTAAGCACTCCGACCTAACGTTTATATAGAAACGCAAACCGAAAGTATGGAACAACCAACTTGACCCAATGGCTATATAGAACCACGAACCAAAGTTATAATGTTGACGCCACAAGAAAGAAACTTAATAGAGTTCACGAGATTAACGAATAACAAAACTCACTCGTTCTTTCGTTTTTTTTTTCCCTTTTTTTTCGATTTTTTTTTCTGGACTCTAGACAAAACCTAACTTAGACTCAAAGAAACTCCAAACAAAAAATAAATTTCGATTTTTTTTTTTTTTGGTTTATGGACTCTAATAAACAAACGAAAGACTAGAAAGACTCAACAACAATAGACACAAAAAATCGAAAAACAAAATAAAGACACAAAAACAAAGACTGACTAAAAAATAAAGATAAAGGATAGGCGAAACCTTCTTAGGAAGATGGCTCTGAGTACCAAATGATACGAACCACGCCAACCATGTGACGAGACCCGATATCAATACTTCGGATATCAAACCCCGGACCGTCCAAAGAAGGAATCAAAGGGTGGTGGAACCGCGACCCGTTGCCTATAAAGAGGCAAGAACCTTGGTATGTGAGGACGCCACAATCGATTGCGGAAGATCGATTGATAAGTCGGGGTGAACAAACGGAATCCACCGAAATGTTCGAAGAGTTCTTAAAGAACCAAAGAGAATATTCTCAATTAAATCATCAAAATTCGTTTATTAAATCAGCCAAAGTGGCAACCTATTTATAAGGTCTAAAAAGACTCTTTTTTCACAAGGAAAAGGACTCCTACCTAAACTATAATAAGGAAATAAATAAATAAGCAAATCCTAACCATAAAAGACTCTAAAATAATAAAAACATAATAAAACCTAAATTAAAAACGTGCATAGTTAAATAAGATAACTTGATCTTCAAGTCGACTTCTCGATCACCCTTCTTAACTCGCGACATTGGGCTGTGCACGTGCATGCAATTAAAGCTCAATTTCGACACTGTTCCACTTCGAATATCTCTTCGCTCAAAACATGAAAGTTGTAGATCTTTCAGTTAGCTTTCCGAATCATTTTGAATCAGCTTAAATGAACTTCAGATGCGAGAGTTATAACTCGAATGGTAAACCCTGCCAGAATAGGCGAGAATCTCGGATGCATGGAATTCGACTTGTCCAACGACTTCTTCTCTTTCTTTTCTTCCAATTCCAAACCACGGACTCTTCAAAGGCCTGATTTAAGCCTTTATTCTTCAATCCTAACACGAACGGCTCCATTAATCTCACTCGCTTTCTCTTCTTCCACTTATTTGTCTTGGAGCTTGTGCGGATCGTATCATTCTCCCGCTCTTTAAAAGGATTCGTCCTCGAATCCGGACAAATATCACAAGGAGTATAAACAAAATCGATCTCTCTGTTCGGTAGCAAACTTACATATCTCTGCACCACATCGCATAACACGCCATCTTGCAGCCATTGAAATGTGTACGAACATGGATATTTTGTAGCTCGAAGTCCCAATGCGTCCAACCTCTGTATAGAGAATGGATGAAGCATCTCTCTAGGCACCGCCATCTCATCAATATTTACACTGAGAGTTTGCACTTTGCTTAGCTCGGCATTAACTTCGATGCATGGCTGGCTCATATCATTCTCCACCTCTTCAAAAGGATTCGTCCTCGAATCCGAACCTTCAATTTCTTCTTTAAGCGGTGGGGCGGTTTGGCACTTTTCATCCTCCTTGGGCTGCAACTCAACAATATCGTCTTGCATCCCTTCAATTTTTGCACCAATGCTTTCGATGATGTCTAGAACATTTTCCTCCATGGGAATTTCAAGGTTATCATTCCTCTGAGGTGGTGACACGTAAATGATCTTTTTCGCCTTTGTAGAATCATCCTCAATGTTGGACCACAAGTTCACGAATTGCTTGCTCGGACGCTCTCCTCTCTTGGTCTTGAATTGCTGCTCGGTTTTTGATTTCTCTCTTTTAGGCTTTTGCAACGATTCTCTCACCATGCTTGCTGGATAACTCCTTTGCGATTCCCACCTCGGCGAACTCCGTTCTTCTGACTTAGTACCTTGCCTCATGCTTTGCATCTTCAATTCCCTATAATAATGGGCACGAATAAACCTCTTTCTCATAACTGCCTTCATGGACTCCCAATCATCAATTGGTGGTTCACCACAGCGCCGCCTAGTTAAGACAAATTGGTCCCACCAACTAATTGCATAGTGAATGAATGCTTCGACGACGAGCTTCACTTTCTTCTTTTCTGAATAGTAATCACAATCGAATACGTGTTCAACCTTTCTTTCCCATTGAATATACGCCTCGGGATCACTCTTACCTTGAAAGGGTGGTATAATCAACTCCATTGAGCTACGGTTTTGATCTACGCCATCTCTTTCTCGACCAAAATATCCTCGGCTCGATCTATCGAATCCAGACCCTCGTCCCATACTCTCCCTCCTTGATTTTGTAGCGTTCACACCAAAATTTCTATCACGATCTACCTCTTTATCGGGATAAGGTACAACTGGTTGGTGAACATCACGTCGTACGTATGGCCCTCGAACATGTTGATCTTTGCGTAGTTCCTTTAGTTGGGTAACGATTCCTTCCATCTGATCTTGGAGTTCCTGGAAACGTTTATCCATTGGCGACATCCTACGCTGCTCAATTCTTTCTCCTTCATAACCGGCCTTCTCGGACATGATCAAAACAATATTTTTTTTTATCTCTTTTTTTGACACTAATAAAACCTAACTTGGGCTCTAAAAACTACAAATAAAAGATAAATTTCGAATTTGTTTTTTTTTTTTTTTTTGACACGGACAAACTCTATCTTGGGGCTGAAAAGAAATTGAAAAAACAGCAAAAATTCGAATTTTTTTTATTTTTTTTTTCACTAAGACTCTAGACGACACAACTCAAGAAAAGGTGAGATAAACTAGAAGACACAACAAAAAAATAAAGATAGGTGACACCTGTTTTGGATGTTGGCTCGGGTAACCAATACGAACCGCAAAACAAAACGAAGACACGAAAGAAAGGACTGACTCAACAATTAAGATAAAGGATAGGCGAAACCTTCTTAGGAAGATGGCTCTGATACCAACTGATACGAACCCCTTTGAATCTTTGTTTTTGGATGTTTCGATCTTGCTTCCGCATAGGGTATTTGGGTCTCGTAACAAGTTCTACGGGGTTCGTATCAGCAAGTTCCTCATTGTAGTTGTAGATTACTTCACGAAGTGGGTAGAAGCAGAACCTTTAGCTCGCATTCGAGAAGAAGACGTCATCCAATTCCTTTGGAAGAACATCGTGTGCCGCTTCGGCATTCCCCGTTCCATTATTTCGGACAATGGAACACAATTTTGTGGAGACAAAGTCAAGTTGGTGCCTTGGCTTATCTATTAAGCAATTCTTCACTTCGGTTGCAAACCCCCAAGCAAATGGTCAAACTGAAGTAACCAATCGCACGATACTTCAACATCTCAAGACAAGGCATGGAAGTGCCAAGGGAAAGTGGGTTACCCAATGCTCTGTGGGCGTATCGAACAACCCCACGAACAGCAACAGGAGAATCTCCATTTAACCTAGCTTTTGGAACAGAGGCTGTAGCACCCGTCGAGATTGGCGAACCCTCTTGGAGAGTCATCAATTACTCACTAGAGGCAAATGAAGAAGCAATGAAGGCTAACCTCGATCTCGTCGACGAGCTAAGAGAGATTGCATCCATCAGACAGCAAATGTACCAGAGTTGCATGGCGAAAGTTTATAACTCCAAAGTCCGCCCTCGCTCTTTCCAAGTAGGAGATTTAGTTCTCCGCAGAGCCGAAGCCTCACGCCCAATTGGTAAACTCGACCCGAAGTGGGAAGGACCATATAAAATCACACAAGTGGTCAACAATGGAGCATATCGTCTCGAGAACCTCGACGGACACCCTATACCCAGAACCTGGAATATAGGGAATCTCAAAAGGTTCTACGCTTGAGGTATACATCCACCTTAAATCAAATTTGTTTAAGTTTGCATCTACATCTTCCTCATACGAAAGTCGCTTAAAAACAACTACCCTTGCAGGCTTCACAACCTTCCACGTCTCTCTTCATGCAAGAATGTCTCTAAAAGCTTGAGAAGGGACTCCATAACGAGGTGCGTAAACATCCCGCCCAAATTGGGGGGCTTAATGATATGCCTAATTGGGCCAACCCAATGGGCCTACAATTTCTTTATCTAATGGGCCACGAACCCAATATTTAAGACCACTATCACCGAGGCCCAATCACCTTCAAGTAAGGTTTGGGCCCTATTATCCAAATAATACTAGGGGTCATATTCTCCCAACTATTTTTACTATCCGCACGTTTGACTTGAGCGTCGGAGGGGTTTCTGTCGGATCAACCCCCGGCCTAGTTCACGTGTTCTTTGTTCGCAGGTATCTCAGGGCCATCTAGCACGTGAGCAGTGACCCACTTTGCTTTCACAGCTCCCTCAATCTCAACTATCTAAGGTGATCTATTTTTAGCATCATCATCATATATATATATATATATATATATATATATATATATATATATATATATATATATATATATATATATATATATATATATATATATATATATATATATATTTGATTTATGAATACCGGTTGTTTTGGTTCGATTTTACACATCGAAACCACCTAAATAGTAGGAAAGTGGATAGGAAATTGATCCTGCAAAAAATGACTAAGTTAATAATTGTGTAATCTTGTTAAAAAAAAAACTAATAAAAACCCGATCTTGTAGTGGGGTCGGGTGTGGGAGATGTTACATAATATTTGTAGATGGTTAAAAGTGCATTGGGTTTTATTTTAAATAATTTGTTTTTTTTCGATCTAATTGTAATTTATAAAGATCTCTTACAAACTTAATATTTACAGCCTACATCTTAAACCCAACTCCAAATCATCCGCCTCACTCCTACAAATTATCACCATCGCGGGCGCCGTTGTCATACATGGAATGGGCTTCTTCACCGACGCCGGCGATATTTCCGTTGTCTCTTTGAGGAACAGAGGGGGGCCGACTACACAAAAATCCCCTCTTTATTCTTCTTTCTTTCTTTTCTTGTCCCGAAATTACATTCTCAATTTTGGAGGGTTGGGTCATGGAGACGATAAATCCTCCATCAATAATTCGTTTTGGGGAGTTGGTACGGGGCAGCCTGAATTGGGAATCGCGACAGCCTTATTAATTCCAAAGAGAAAATAATGTACAGTGAAGTGCATTAATCTATGTGTTTAATCTAGCAAAATCTAATCCGGGTTATCCTGTTGCTGCTTGAATCATCTATACTTTATTTGTAAAATGGATCTACGTTCATGAAATTCTAAACATTTATACATGTTCACGAATAGCAATTTAATATAGCAATAAACAATAATAATGAGGTAGTAAAGTCTTTTATTGTGGAAACACTTCTCGTCACAATTATTCACATTTATTTGATAGTGAATTACAAGTAGGGATTATCTGTCAAAAGCCCCCCATTATACAAGTCTATTACAATAGATACAATTTTTTTTGGAATTTTTGAGATAAATCCATTTCAACATTAAATAATAAATTATCACTATTATACCCCTAACTTAAAAGTAACGTATGTTTTATGATGGGGAAACTACAGATAAATTCATAATCCAAAACACAAAACACAGATCAGTCCCTAGGTAGGTTCCCCAAGCAAATCAGTCCCTACTCACGCGCCTAACATGCAGATCAGTCCCTAATGAAATGTGCAAATACTAAAATACCCTTTACTTTATACTAATTTTACATAATTTATTTTCAACCTCCAATGCGCCGTTTGTGTTACACGCTCTTTGTCCGTTACATTTCAAAAATCAAACAATAAGAAAGAAGCTAAAAAGGCACAAAAAAAACCACCGTTATCAGTTTATACCCATTTCCACACAAAGAAGCAACATAGAAGAAACAAAGAACAAAGAAACAACAAAGAAGGAAGAAACGACAAAGAATGAAGAATCAACAAAGACGCAGAAAAATAATAAAACGAAGGGTAAATTCCACTTTACCCCGTCGTACTCTGACTGAGAGTCACTTTACCCCCTCGTACTCTCAATTTTATCGATTTACCCCCTTGTACTTGTACAATTTCCCAATACAGCCCTTTTCTTCAATTTTTTGTCAATTTTGACTCTAACGCCATTTGGTCAACTCTGTAAATTACAAAATTGCCACTGTCTATAACGCGTCATTTTGTCATTTCTTCTTCTCCCACCACTTCCCCTTCCAAGATATCCCCAAATTGAACCCCTAACTTGGTAAAAATCAAGACCCAAAAATTGATCGATTCCACCCAGTCCAAAGAAAAAAATATATGAATGTGTGAAACTTTCTCTTTTCTAATCTCGAGAGTCAAAATCGAAAAAACTCAATATTTACGTCAATATTTTGACTCTTGACCAGATGGCGTCAGAGTCAAAATCGAAAAAAGTTGACGAAGAGGGTTGTATTGGAAAATTGTACAAGTACAAGGGGGTAAATCGACGAAATTAAGAGTACGACGGGGTAAAGTGGTTCTTGGGCAGAGTACAAGGGGGTAAAGTGGAATTTACCCTAAAACGAAAGGAAAAATAAAAATAAACAAACCCATTTCTAAACAATGGTGAAGCAGGGTAAACAACAAGGTTTGATTTTTTTCATTTTCTTGGAAACAGACCTTTTTGGGTGTTGCTTAAGCTTGCAAAAAGGTTTATTTGTTGTAGAATTGCATGATTTTGAACATATTCACTCATGGGTATCATGCCTCGACTTTATTCAGTGTCTCCCATATCTGTTGTTTTGTTGTTTGGGTTTGCAAAGATCATTTATTTGTTGTCGAATTTCATGATTTTGTAACACTATCCTCCTGGGTATTATTTTTCAGTGACATTAGCATAGACACGGCCACGGGCCGGGTTTGACCCGGACCCGGCCCAGACCCGACCCGTGGACTGCCCCGCCCCGCCCCAGCCCTGCCCCGCCCCGTTGACCGTCAACCCGGACCCGGACCCGCCCATACATGGGTCGGTTTCGAGTCCCCAGTTTCAAGACCCGAGACCAGACGAGTCCACCCGGCGGGTCTACCCGTGGGACCCGCCCCGGGAACCGAGTGTTCATACAGTTTTTTTATTCAAAAATGAGTCAGAGAGGATTCGAACTCGGACCGAATTGGAAAGATTGGGCAAATCTCTCCACTGGGGCCAAACACACCATTTGATAATTTGTAGGCAACAAACATATTTCCTGGGGACGGATAGAAAAGCTGTTCTGTGTCGCGCCAAGAGCTCGTCTCGAAACCTCCGGAGCGGCGCGCATTTCAAGTTAGAAAAAGTACCCGTCCCCTCTTAGCAGAAGAGAGCTCGAAATCTATATCTATCTATATATAT